TATAAAAAACCGCACAAATGTGCAAAGGTACAGCCACAAGCTGAATATAGACAACCAACAGCTGAATACAAGCAGCCAACAGCGGAATAGATTGGGAGGACAGGACCGAAGCCCGCCTAGAACCAACCCCAACCGGGAAATACTCAGGACACACAAACTAAACACGACGACCCTAAAAACTCCCAAGGGGAGAATAAAAAACAAACAAACAAACAAAACAAACAAAACAAAAACGACCCCAACAGGGTAATGTTCGAGTGTACGGTCCCAATAGGATAATAAAGGCACACTCGGGCTAACCGAGGCCAACAGCCCAAACCTAAAACACTGACAACACAAACAAGACCAAAACAACGCAAAACACATAAACAAAAACTACAAATAAAACATAAACCTAGACAAGAAGCCTCCCTCAGCAGAAACGTCCGAAGAAGACAGCAGACAACGCCAGCTCCGAGGAGAGCTCCAAAGCTCTGGTACCACGCCCGCCACTGCAGAAGGCCTAGCAAGACGAAGACCATAGTCTCAGAACAAACCAAAGAAACCGGCCCGCACACCGACTGCAAGAAATCACAATCGCTCCCCAATCGGCTAACACCACTAGCCAATCCGAACCGTCCCGAAATTGCCTAACACCACTAGCCAACTTCGAAAAAAGACGACCTCCCACAAACTCAGAAGCCGAGAAAGAGGAGGAAGGGGACGAACGACTTCAGAGCTCGGTCACTCCGACCCTGCCCGCAGGAACAAACTCCGCCCAAATCAACCACCTGCCCACCCAGCCCACAAGGATAAATCCCGACCCAACACCCCAGCACAGCCGAGGAACCAGAGACCGGACTCCGGCCAAAACCGAAGACCCGCAACCGGGATGACCAACCAGCCCGGCAGAAGGAGATGCTCCGACCAAATCTCGAATCCAATTGCCTGAATCCAAAGCTGGAAGGGGGAGACTGAACAGGAACGACGCAACCAACCAAGCCGCATCCAGCCACTGGTGCCACACTCCACCTAGCCTCTCCACCCTGAAGCTCCGGCGGCCAAAAATTACAGAACGGCAAATTTTGACGAAATCCTCCATAGATCTGCAACCTCACCCAACGGCGAGAGAGAGAGAGAGGTGAAAGAGCTGCTACAAGCAGCGTGGACGCTCGACGGTGAGCAGTCTACCGGCTAGCCGGCTAGCCGCTGTGAGAGGCTCAATTTGCCGGCGACGGAACCTAGGTTACGCGAGAGGGAATTTGGGAGCGATTTGTAGAGAGAGAAAAAGTGTACAAAAAGTTTGTATATTTCATTAACAATATTATCTCAAATTCTGAAAATTAATATATATCCATCACTAATTTTTATTTATGATACTTTTATTTAAAACACAGAAAATAATATAGACAAAACAAAAATTAGAAAGTATGATAATATGCACATTATAGAAAGAAGATAATAAAAAGATTTATATGGAATAGTCTAAATATATTAAATATGTGTATATATGGTAATCCAAACCGAAGCTAGTTGGTATAAAAAATAGTAATTTTTATCCTAGCCATACTACAAAACATAATATTTTGTCAAATAGGATTATGAAGCGTGCGAAACTACCACTTAGGCTTAGTGCGTTATGAAATTATATACAACAGGGCTTAGTATGATTGAAATGTGACATTCCATAATAATATTTTATATATTAAATGGAGAAGAGGAATATCAATTAAACTAAACTTCGTGCATTTGCACGAAAGAGATTATTAGAAGAGTAAGTAAGAGAAATATATAAACAAAAGTAAAAACTAAAATTTCATCCATAAAAATTTAAGATTTAAGAAAAGAATTCTAAATATTATTAAAAGCTTCTTTATACAATATTAATGGCTTTTCTGTCGTCAGAATTCCCGTCGCCACAAATCTTTATATTCAAACATTTCTGATTCATGACTCTGGAAATAGCAATGGCCATGCTGAAGATGGGGTTCTTGAGTACTAAGTCGGCGTGTAATAGAGACTGATCTTGACTCTTATTGATTGTCACAACATAGGAAACCATGACAGGAAACTGTCAGCGCTAAAACTTGAACGGTACTGATACAACACCCAG